TGGTTTTAAAATTAACAAAATCATTTAATTGTAAATAGAAATAACTAAAACATTGTGATTTTTAAATTGTATTTGTAAATGTAATTGTATAATTAAAAAAATGTAAATTGTAAAAAATGTAAAATGTAATAATATAATACGTAATAATATAATGGGTAATAATATGTACGATAATAATAGATATTTACTGTTTTTAAGGTTTGGAAATTATACTCATATACGATTGTTATTCATGTGTTTCGTTGGTAATAATGTCATAGTCGATGTCATACAATTTTTATAAAAGATTTTTAAAAAGTGTTACTCAACCATCTGAGGTATGGAAAAGAATTTAATGTTGGTTAATCTTTACACGGGAAAAAAAATTTTTTGTAAATTGATTTTTTGTTTTTTAAATTTTGTGTAGAATTACACTGAAGAGGGGCTCATACAAGCCTGAAATGCATATGTAATTTACAATAAAGGAATACTTAACCTCAGAGCTGAAAGAAAGTCTACCGTTTGTTAACCATTCGGATTGAAGAGACATATAATAAATATATGAACAGGCATTGTTCTCTGATTGGATCAGAGAACATCAGGGTGTCTTCAGGAATGAGAAGACTGACACTCTTGAAAAGGTGGCTGTTGTTGCTGCCTTTAGCCCTTTTATGTATGATATCCTTTCATCAAGTATCATGAAAAACAAATCTGGGACGAGTGGCAGCAAAGATGGGAATCTGAAATTTGTACAAAGAATCAAGTTCCTTGTGAAAGATCACAAGGCATTTTATTCCAGATATCAAGGAGTATATGTAGAAGTGCTGGTTTTGGCCCACACAAAGTCATGCAGTTCATATTTGAACACGGCTGCTTTAATTTATTTCTTTATACAGAAGAATACTGCATTATGTCCGTCTGAGAGTGTCCTGACTGTGTCCAGCACATCTTTGACTGCTGTCAGATATTAAACAGACTCTTAGCACTCTACTCAATTTGACTAATCTAAATTTCCTGATCCTGTTCGTTGAACCATCTCAGAAACAAAGATATGTTTCAAAATTTAATTGAGCTTATAAAACTCTTAACATTTGCACGTGAACTCACCACAATTACTTTCTATTATTTGTCAACCTTTCCCCAGGGAGTAGTGTGATGTTTACATCTATGTTTTGTGTCTTGTTTTTTTATACTTATATGTCCAGTCAGTGTTATGTATGTGCTATCAGTTTGCATTTGTTAACTTGCACATTCTTAATTCAAATGTATTTAATTTGTCATTTTGTATCTATGCTCATGCATTTGTAAGTTACTGTGTTCCTCATTGTAACCTCTGTACTCTACCTGGTTATGCACAAATGATACTGGAAGAAAAATAAAGATATTATAGGTAAGGTAAGGTAAGCAAATACATCAAAATCTTCCTTTTCAATATTTCTTAGATGGTGCTGTGTAGTATAGTTTTAGTTTACTAAAACTAAAACTCAGTAATATGACTAATTAATGTTAGTGGTGGTGTAACAGTTTAATCCATGCATGTGAAAATTAATATGGTAAATATTATTTTTCATAGATACAGATAAACTAGTTTATTTATCTAATTAAAAAAAATATTCTGCAAGAAAAAATGCAATACAATAATACTGTCATTTCTAACATTTTGGAAAATTAATATTTAGACACAATATATCATAAGGAATAAAAATAAACTGCTATTTAAGAAGAAAATTTAGATTAAATGAAATACAACAATAATATTGATGCTTGAAATGGCATAAAAAATGAGACCCATGCATATTGTTATATGAATATAAAGGATAGATTATACAGAAGTATAGCAAATCCTTTCATTTTTCATAATTCATATTTTATGTACATAACTATGTGTCATATTCACTATTTTTTCCCTCTAATTTAATACATTTAAATGTAGCATAAGTAATATATTTAAAAACTGACTAAGTTCGTTTTAATAGTTTACAAAATGTTTGCAACATTTTATATTTTTGTAATCATAAAACTGTACAAATTCTCTTGTAATTTACAGAATATTTTTCTTTTTAAATACTAAAAACAATATTAGTATTTATTTTAAAAAATTAATTAACTGATAAATGGAAAAATATTTAATACTTGAATATTTGCTTAAAATGCTTAATAAATTAAAAATTTACGTGCAAAAAATTGTATTATAAATTAGAATAAAATAACAGATTTAACTAACAAAAAATTAACTAATTTATTCTAATTTTTAATACAACTTATTAATTCATTAAATATATGAATAAATCAAATTCTAATATAATTCTACCTAATGAACTTTCTCCAGCCTCTCCGGCAGACATTCGAGCGATATGATCGAGACCAATTCTTTCGGCTTCTTCGGTAGCTAAAGTATAAGGTAATTCGACAAATAATATTGTTGCCTGTAAAATGTAAATATTAAAACTTCAAATCGTAAAAAAATAACTAAAATTTCATATAATTTATCCATTTTATTAATACTTAACTTTATAATGAATATAATATTTAAAACATACCTCTCCATTCACTAAATCAATAACCGATTCATACATGTTTACAGGTAACTATAAAAAAATATATTTTAAAATTAATATAGAAATATTTTATTATTATTATTAACAACATAAAAATGATCTCACTAAGTTCTAATAATGAATTGATTAAAAAATAAATAAAACAGTTTATATCATCAATGAAAGCTACAAGTGTAATAAATAATAATCACTGTTCTTGTTTATTTGCATTTGTTGTATTGTCTGTATGACAGAGATGAAAAAACATCAATATGCTCCATCTAACTATTTAATTTGTAAGAAATTTATTATTTATATTAAAAAATTAAAAAAAAATTAGAATTAGAATTAAATGTTCTTAATTTCAGTGTCTCTAATGGCCACCAATAAGCAACCAATAAGCAAAGTTAAGGTGGATACACATCAAATGCTAAGCAAACATTTGGCCAATACTGAGTAATGTAGATGATTTACTCATGACTAATATTCAGTACTTGCCATTTCCTGCTCCTTGTTGGTGAATTGTACTGAATCAAAGGAGACAAATAGGCAAAAATAATATGTGTGGGCTGATGTTAGAAGTAACAAGCATTCACTTATTAAAAATAAAATGAATGGTAATTTGGTTAACATCTAACACTGTTAATTGTGAATACAGCCATAATTGAGCAACTATTATATTTTACTTCTTTACTGCATCCTTTAAATTAATACATACACAATTAAGGAAATTCAGATCATTTTTCATTACATTTTAAGAAGTAAAAGTATTAAAAACATGCTTCATATCTTGTTAAGATCAACTGTAATGAAATTTGGTAAAATTTAATATTTTTTTTGTTAAATATTAGCATCTATCTTCTAAAACTGCATGTAAGACATAAAAATGAAAATTTTCTTTGATACGTGGAAAAGTATATAAATCATTCCTACAAAATTCACGATCATATTTGTTGTTCAGTAATGCATATGAGCATCTCTGTGAATTCTGGAAATTTATACAGTTAAAAAAATTGTCATCTCAACAACAAAAGTTATGACAAAGTAATTTTGAAATAAAATCATCATAAAATGGCACATATGAAAACTATAATTTATCTGTTAAGTCAAAATCTGAAGATAGATAAAACAACAATTAACATTAAATTTGCTGTTAAAAAAAGGGTTAAATATATCATTTATCAGAACATACAGGTCTTCCAAAAAGGATGCTACCAATTGAAATTATTGTAATTATGTTAGTTATTATGCGAAATATTGTAACATACATTAAAACGTTGAAAAACTGTCCAAATTTCACATATGTCCATTACAATTTCTCAATGTGTACACCTTGTGTCACAGCACATATCTGACCATACTCAAATTCTTCCTATGTTTACTAAGGCATATCCGTCATCACTTTTCCCATAGCAGTCATAATTCTATCATTCCTGCAGATTACTCGTGTTGCACAATGATGAGTGATTCAAGCTTTCTGATATAGGTTTTTGCCTTCACAAAACGTCTTTGCTGTTGCAGTCACCATTTTCATTTATGATACTTCCTACACGTAGCAGACCACTAGAAGTTTGAATGTAGATGGGAGACGAAACTCGAACAGTTACTCTATCGATTGATACACATTTTATACCTCTCAGATAATAATTAACATACATGCAGTAATTTTAAATGTTAGTACTCATTTTGGAAGACCCTGTATTCCTAGATATTCTAATTGTTTTACATTAATAACTGCACTTTAAAAATCATTATTAAAAACAATATGTTGACTTTTAATATATTGTATATTAGATATTAATAAATCATTATTGTTTATTTTAGACTTGATCTACAGTGTCAATCAAAGTTTGTGTACTGTTTGTTTTGCTGCTTGTTGTTGAAATATTTAAAATGCTATTTATGGTAAAAAGGGTTATTTATTATTGATGTAAAGAATAATCATCGTTCATGCTTTAATCATACGACAGGTTATTTGTTTAATAATTTGTTATACAGTAATTGTTATCAGATCTGTTCTGTTAATATATAACAAATACAAATAAATTTTTTTATGCGGTATTTATTTTGATATAGTTTTCCTGCTGTAACACCATATGGCTGTACTGCATGAAAAGCATTTTGGTTAGGTTTGGACTACCGTTTCAATTGATTTCTTATACAGTTATAACACCACCTCCATAAAGTTACAATTAGAAAAACACAGGTTATTTTCTTAAATCAAGCCAACATCCATTCAATCCATCCAGATAGCAAAGTTCAATAGTATAATAGTTTGGGAATTAAGGTAATTTGTTGGTTTGATGGCATTTAGTTCTGCAAGAAACTAAACCTTTAGCTTTTGTTTCATCAAGAATGAATAGCTCAACTATCAATTGATGCTTGCCAGTCATCTGCCATTTCTTAACACCAGCATAAACCCATTACATTTCAGCAAGATAATACAAGCATCCATTCCAGTTGCAGTACAAGAAAGTGGTCTCAGAATAACAACATTGAGGTTCTGGATTGGGCAGCATTCTCTCCAAACTTCAATCTGATGGAAAATCTCTGGGAATACTTGTGAGAGAAACACACACAGATAATTATTATTTTACATCAGTTGAACACCTAAAAACAGAATTTCTGCAAGCATGGGAAGCGATAGATGTAAAGATCTTTAAAAAATCTTATTTAAAACATGTCTAACAGAATAATAATAATTAATTAGGTGACCAGTTTTATTTAATTCTAATGTTTTGTGACTTTTATGTCCTTTTTTTTCTAATGTTGAAAACAGACTTACAATGTCTGTGTTTATTCAGCATTAAAAATATAAAACAATTTATGATTAAAATGAGCAAACAATTTGATACTTTTTTGTTGACAATTATCAGTCATTTAATATGCCTAGTTTGCTTGTAATGTGCATTTTTCAAAAGTACTATATTTATGTCGAGTACTGTATGAGTATTATTAATTATTATTATTTTATAGGCCAACATTAAAGAACACATTCTTACCTCGGTATGTCGTCCTTGTGGATTTAATTTTAAAAATACGGGACTTTCATTTATTACACAAACCTGAAATAATTAACTCATTCAATCTCTTGTCTTTATTAAATAATTTTTTTAAAACTTACCTGTTTATGAACTTTAATATCTGATTCGTTGGGTGCATCTCCAGTTGTATACCATCCCAAAAAGTCTAAATCACTAAATACTTGTTTAACTAAAATGCAAATTTAATACAAATTAAGGTGTGCCCATGAAATTTTTTTTAAACATTCTAAACAGCCAATACAATGCTTTATTGTGACATCATATATGCATTATGAATATAATTTTTAATAACTAAAACTAAGTTTAAATATCCAAACATTAAATTTATCAATGAATTGTCAAGAATGTTAAAAAATGGTGTCCATAAAGTTTATAGAATTTTTTTAACAAATAAGTTACTAGGACAATAGTTTAATAGTTATTCTAACTTCATTGATCAGTTGACTTCCCATTCAGTCTGATAACATCAAATACACAATGTTCCATTGAAGTAATTAGTTTTTGGAGAGTTTTTTCATATACACTATAGTTTCTGGCATTTCACAATTTCCAATTTCAAGTCTTCTACATAGGAATACTGTTTTCCATATGCATATATCTGCTTAAACAATATTCTCCACAGCATTTTTTGATAGTCTTCTGACCTTTGTTTGCCACCAATAAATACTATTGGAGATTTAACATGATATCTGAAAGATGCCTAAACTGTGACACTTTCACCTCCTTTCCATCTACTATAAAATTCTTTGGTTCTTTTCTCGAGTCATGCCAATAACTAACCCAACCATCGAGACTGCATAAGTTCCATTTCTTTTCATCATCGAACAAGACTTCTTTCTGTTCGTCCTTTTACGTGTTCTCTTGCCCAATTCCTTTCTGTAATAATGCATTCTGGCTTTAGAGGTAATTGTTTAGTCATTTTAGTATAAACTAGATGTGCAGTTGCCTTCAACTTGTTATTTAGGTTCTTTTAGACACCTTGTCTTAAAAAGCATTAGTTGTTTTTTGTATAGAATAGCCATTATTCATAAATGTTTGCAAAATACATCAATCATCTCTTGATGTCACCATTATTCTACCACAACTAAGTTTAGAATTCCAATTTTCACCTTTCTGAGGTATCTGATATACTCACAAAGAAGATGTTTTCAATGCTTTAGCAATATCATACACCTTCTTTCCTTCAAATTCCATTTTCCAAAGTTTTATAACTTCTTTCTCATTGAACTGTTTCAGTTTAGGCATACTTGTAATCAAATAAAACTTATTTATAAAATACTGACTTCAGATGAAATAAATGTTCTAATAGTAGATTCTAGAATAATTTTAAATGTTGAAAATAGTTTTATATTTATTTTTAAAAGTTTATTTGCTAAGTTACGATAAAATTCCCTAAACTTTTTGGACACACAATTTTAAAAAAAAGATTTATTATTTAAAATACCTCATTTGCAGTACTTACTTATACCTTTCATAAAGTAGTGTCAAAATTCTTTTTGTTTGAGATGCTACAGTTTAGTGCCTTATTTGATTTAGTGCCAATTTAAGCTAAATTCAATTACAAGCATAATAAATTTTCATAAAGTAATTGACACCTCACTGTTGGTGTTACTAACATGATTTTTAATTAAGACATACTTGCTAGTACTTTGGATAGCTTACAGACACCATCTTCAGGTGAAAAAGAAATTGAATATTATTAATTTTTGAAGATTTCTTTTTTTGAACGGACTTTTCAAATTATGTAAGGCTTTTATGATCAATAAATTTTCTTAAATGGAATTGAACAGAACATTATACTACATTAGTTTGGATTTAAAAAAATATATACCACGTTAGTTTGAATGTAAAAGATCATTATACTAACAAGGAAACTGTCAGAGTGTCTTCTAATAAATTTTAATAAAATTTAGTTAATAATTAAGTTAAATTATACAAACTCTATTTTAAATTTGTAGCATTCACTAAAAGTGTTGATCAGAGTTATTAGCAATCAAATGTTGCACTACTTTATAGTAGTTTAACACAGTTATGCAAATTTTTAGAAGTAAAAGGGTTGTGGAGGAAGATGGCAATATTACATTTACAATAAATTCTGGAATTTTCAAAAATGGTTGAAGAATTAATAAAATTTTGTATACTTTTAACATAATTATTAACTAAATTTTATTAATTCTTCTCCTATTTTTGAAAATTCCAGAATTTATTCTAATTAGAATTAGAAACTTATTTTGTTTTAAATGAATATTTGTATTAAATTGTGGTATTCATTTTGTTTTCTAGTAGAACAGATTAATAATATTAAATCTTACCTAATTTATAAAATATTAAACAATGATAAATTAATAATATCAAGTACAGTTATTTATATGAGTACAGAATTCATAATCTTTTGAATCAATTACTAATAACCATAACGTTTATTCAGCATATACAAAATATAATATTTTGTATATGCTGTATACAAAATATACAAAATATTATATTTCCTATATACAAAATATATAGCATATACAAAATATTATATTTCCTATTTAGTTTTGCTGGAATAAAAATAAAAAACTTCATGAATACTTTTCAAATCTGCTGTCATTAAACAATACACGTAACTGCTGACTTATAATGGAAGTCTGTGTCCGGCATTTTAAGGTGAACATAAATTATTTACAAATTAAAATATAATAATAAAACTTTTTTACAAAATTAATTTTGGAAATTTAAAAAAGCTTTTCTCAATTGCATTTAAGTCAACAATGTATCTAAATATTAAACATTGTATACTCTTCTGTCAAAGTATTTACACTTTTAAAATCTGTATATCGTGTCTATTTTTCAACCATTTTAATGCCTATCAATAAATTATAAATTTTATAATCTGATAATGTTTTGAATATTCTACATAACATTTATATTTTCTAATTTTAATGTTAAAAATAAAATTACTTACATTGCTGCTCTTTTAAATTATAATAATCTTTATCGATAACAATATCGTCCTCTATTCTATCAAATACTAATTCAAATGAGTTCATTATTTCGAGGTTTCGTCCTTTTTGTTTACCAATTAAAGCACCAATAACTGAAATTCCAAAGTTCCATTTCTTTTCATCATCGAACAAGACTTCTTTCTGTTCGTCCTTTTACGTGTTCTCTTGCCCAATTCCTTTCTGTAATAATGCATTCTGGCTTTAGAGGTAATTGTTTAGTCATTTTAGTATAAACTAGATGTGCAGTTGCCTTCAACTTGTTATTTAGGTTCTTTTAGACACCTTGTCTTAAAAAGCATTAGTTGTTTTTTGTATAGAATAGCCATTATTCATAAATGTTTGCAAAATACATCAATCATCTCTTGATGTCACCATTATTCTACCACAACTAAGTTTAGAATTCCAATTTTCACCTTTCTGAGGTATCTGATATACTCACAAAGAAGATGTTTTCAATGCTTTAGCAATATCATACACCTTCTTTCCTTCAAATTCCATTTTCCAAAGTTTTATAACTTCTTTCTCATTGAACTGTTTCAGTTTAGGCATACTTGTAATCAAATAAAACTTATTTATAAAATACTGACTTCAGATGAAATAAATGTTCTAATAGTAGATTCTAGAATAATTTTAAATGTTGAAAATAGTTTTATATTTATTTTTAAAAGTTTATTTGCTAAGTTACGATAAAATTCCCTAAACTTTTTGGACACACAATTTTAAAAAAAAGATTTATTATTTAAAATACCTCATTTGCAGTACTTACTTATACCTTTCATAAAGTAGTGTCAAAATTCTTTTTGTTTGAGATGCTACAGTTTAGTGCCTTATTTGATTTANACATATCATTGTCAGATGTACATGATCGTGAATGATACTTATGATAAAAACATTCAAAACAAAAATTCTGTCTACACCAAGAACAACAAATAAATGCTGCTTTTTTTAAGAGGTATCATCAACACTTTTTTCCTCACAACGTGAAGAACTTGCTTCTCTTGACAGCATTTTTTGATTATAAAATAATTTTTCAAAATAAGTTTTACTACACAAATACGTCTATTCGTGTGGAAATTTAGAAACGAACTGTTAAAAAGTGAGTGAAAAAGAACTTGGATAGAAATCCTAGTGATAATTAGATCGGTCACAGTTAGTGATAACAATTAGATGGGAAAGTTGACACATAGGTGTCAAAAATGCGCTGTTATTGTTAACAAAAGTATAAAAATATTAGACTTGGAATAGTAGAAATTGATTTAAAATAAATAAATAATAAGAAATAAATGAATGAGTAAATAAATAAATACATTATAAGTATTTATGAATTAAAAAAAAATTATACGCGAGAATCGAACCCAAGAACTCAAGCTTATAAATCAGACTCGTTACCACTCTGCCACAGGACACTCGAGTAGAAGTACGTATAATTTATATATAAAGTGCTAACAAAACTTTAAGTTTGATTTTCTCGATTATATTTGAGTATTGCACTTTAGTATTTTACAGATAGTACACTCACATGGTGTACTACCTCTACACCAAAGATCATCAAAATCCGTTACCCCAAAGCCGTAGGCTCTCCTTGTGAGTCAAAACCATTAACCTTATTTAAATTTAACTCACTGACAAATGCATTGACTAATTAAGCTTTTCCCAAACTTTTACTATAATGAAATACTTCACAAATCCTGAAATTTTAACAGAACATCTTGGTTACTTTGTAGAGTAGGTAGATATAAATACAGGAAATCTTCATTAGTTTGAAATTCAAGGGATGAAATAATTGAGACATCAAATTATCCGATATGCATATTTCTATACAATATGCCATTTGGCATATTGTATAGAAATATGTACAAATTTATCAAGGAAAATTTATAGAAAGGAAATTTATCAAGAAAATGGAATATGGCTACATATACAGAATGCTATTTTCATTAATTAATAGTAATATGAATAAATTGCAGGTAAATAGCATGTGTCCAGTAAGAACCTCACAAGTTGCCAGATAGGTTTTATAAAAAATAAAGCAAAATTCCTCGAAATTTAGCCCAAATTATTTTTAAAGTAGCTCAAAAAGTAGTAAGTTACCCAAATGCAGTACCCCAGAGCCTGCAAATATCTCAATCTGTTACTCTAGCCCAATCTCACAATCCCAAAACCCAGCCATATTTTATGAGATAAGAGGAAAAAAAGGTTATTTCATGGGTAAGTTGACACTCTGAACCCCGTATTTACCAACACAAGTTAGAGTTAGAATTAAATCTCGAATTAACCAATCATCATTTGCTTTTCTTTTAGTATGTAAGCGCTCCTTGATTAACTTTTAACTTTAACTCTAACCCGTGTTGGCAAATATGGGGGTGAATGTATTACTGTAAAAGCAAAGCCATGTTAACCAGATTAGAGTTGTTCTTGGTCTATTGTTCTCTTACTGTATGTAGGCACTTTGATCTAAACAAACGAGTTAACATACACAAGATACAGTTTGAACAGTATTATCAATTTGAATTTCGGAGTAGCCGTATTTTGGTGTCTGAGTTATAAATTCTCTTGATATCAAGCACAATATTAAAAGCCAAATTCTCATATCTGGTGTAGTGTCAATTCTGTTCCTGTACTTTGATTTGATGAAACATAATTTAAAATCTTGCTTTGCATAAATACTGTATGTCATTGTAAAAGGAAGCAGAAGAATAGTTTTGAAGTCAAGAAACCCAATAACTCACTATCAAGTTCAAAAAGTCTAAATAGTGCTTTTCCTCTGAATAGCCATTTTACTTCAGTATGTAATAAAAGTGCATAATATGCACTACGTACAGAAATAAAGAAAATTTATTAATGATGATTTTTCACAATGTTTAAGACACATTAAAATTAAGTTTAGCTCTTGGAGTGTCAAAACATTGAAAAATGCAAAAAGTGGGTCAAAATTTGACCAATCATCATACTTTCCCTACATTATATTCTATAACAGCCAGGATAATAGTATTCTAAAACAAAACCTGTAAGACATGAAAAGCTATGCAAGTTATGCTTCTGTTATTAATTTGTATTAATTAGAACCTGTTATATGATTCTGATTTGTCTTTGTGCAATCTACCTCTCCCGGAAGTTTGTATACGCTTAGCCAAATTATCCTATATATTTTGCTTATCCAAAGTACAGTAAGACCCCGCTTAACACAGGGGATGTGTTCCTAGACAACAAAGTGCTAAGCAAAACAGCATTAAACGAGGCCATTTTAACATAGAGTAAATAGGGATAGGGGAACATGCAACCAAAAATAAACAAATTTTAATTTTAAGTTATTTTTATATTAATTTGTATAATAATATATGTTAAATAACACAAACATATGCACACAGAAATGTATAACAACATATTTAGTTCATTTTTTTCTATATTAATAGTTCATTTTTTGTGACAAAGTCCTGACTTTTCTGAAATTCTTGTTCTTTTGCAATAAAGTTGTGAAGTTTCATTTATCACTTTTTTTCTTTCCTTAAGCAAATGTCAGTAGCAGAAGATTGCATCCAAAACGTCTCATTTTGCTTTTGCACTCGTTTCAAACTCTGGATCATCTGCTACAATTTGATCAATGATTTTAGTTATCTCACCAAATTTTTATTAAGAAAATCTGTGGGGAAATTTTTTGAGTTCTTCATTTTCAGAATCTCTATTTTCCAGTTCCACATGAATTCCATGTTCTGCCAGTTCTTGAAATTCGTCGTTGGTAAGGCCTCACCAGAAACCTGCTGTAACACCTCAATATCCTGCTCATCTATTTTTCCTAGTCCTGCTGTACCAATTAGGTTGAGTTTGATTAACCTAACGATACAGCGATAGGCTCTTCTCACTGATAATTCTTAGATACATTCAGTCATAACTTGTTCCACACTTTGTTTGTGCATTTATCAGTTAATTCTTGCCAAGCGAAGTCGATATTTCCTATGACATCCACAATGATATATTTTTTCCAAAATTGCACCAAACAAACGTAGATTTAAAGAAAGTAACCTTTTTTCCACCTTTTACTGATTGGTTTGTGTTCACAAATAGTTCATATTATATACGAATCAATGAAATGCCGCGATAATTTAAATCGATGTAAATTTTGAGCTTTATTTAAATTTCAAGAATACCGCGTTATATCGAATCAGCGTTAAGCAGGGTCTTACTGCATATTAGAAAATTATTTAATTAAATATCATAACTGGCATAAATGCATTTGTAAATTATTTCAAAGACAAAATATACTCATATATAATTTAAGTCTAACAATATGCACAACCACAGTTAATAGAAGGTCTTTCAAAATGAATACTACCATTTTAAATTACCCTAATTATGTTAATTATTATCAGATAGTAGGTGATGTATACCGATCATAGAGTAACTGTCTGAGTTCTCTCTCTCGTCTGTCTCGAGTAATTCAAACATTGCATCATCTATTATCTCAAGGAAGTGCTATAAAAAAAATGGCAGCTACACCACAGAGAAGGCATTTTGCATTCTACAGTATGGAAAGTCAGAATCACTCATTTTCATGCGACATGAGCTGATGAGCTGTGGAAAGAGAAGACAATGGATATGTTATAGAAAGCATAGAAAGAATTTGAGCTATGTGCGTTGTGATGTGAGGTGCATGTGTTGAGAAACTGTATTGGGCAAATGTAAAACTTCAACAGTTTTCAATGTTTTAATCACAATGTTCTTGGATAATAATTAACATTATCACAATAATTTAAAATATGATAGCATTCTTTTTGGAAGACCTTGTATAATTGACAAAAGGCTAATGGTAGAATGGCAAAGCAAACATATTAACATATAAACAATACAGAAATTAGATAACAATATAGAAGAACAAAATAACCAAAAGTATGTAAAAAGAACTTTCTCTGTCCAAGTTTGTGTTTGACTTCAGCAGAAACTTCAAAAATTTCTTATTTTCTGTTTACATTTATGCTGTACAGGTAACCCCCGTATAACACGGGAGTTACGTTCCAAAAAATTGCCGTGTTATGCGAATCCATGTTATACGAAACAAAGAACTAGTGCAAAAAGGAGGGTTAGATTCCAAAAATTAAAAAAACATGCTGTTAAATCCTTGTTTAGATTGGATTTATTATTCATTTTTTTTCATAGGTAAAATACTTATTTATTATTTAAGTAAATATTTTACCAGAGGATTATTCATCCTATATGATGATCTCAGCATGAGCATCATTAACTAGTAACAGGTTTTGGGTGTGTTCGTTAATAGCGGTCGCTCTGCAACGGGAGTGAGCTGCTGTTTGTAAGCATTTAGGAACAACAGTGAAAGAAAGATTGCAGCGCCCACACTATCGACAGTATCGTGATGGAGGAATCCATAATTCTAAAATGAACTTTTAGAGGCAAAAGAAGAGGCAAAATTTTACAATTCTTGTAAAATTTAATCATTAAATGGATTATTTGTTGAAAGAGCATTTAAAGTAGCCACGAAAACAATTAGAATGCTCGCGTGGAATTATGCAGAGGTATAAAAGAACGCATCCTTTATTACATTTCATGTTTTACCCAATTCCCGAACCGTTCTATAAAAGCACCGTGTTATACGGGAATGTTTCCAATTCTCGAACCGTGTTAGAGGGAATCCGTGCTATAGAAGTGCCGTGTTATACGGGGGTTACCTGTACTTTATGTATTTGTGTTTTTGGCTTAAGTCTATTTTATTTTTAAAACAGTTGAAATATTGTCCAGCTTTCCTGATGCTTAGCATATTTTAAAAAGAACATATTACTGAAAATAACAAATATGTCACCTTTAATTATGACTAGCAAAGGGACCTTAAGGTCTCAGAAATTCAGTTTGGAATGAGACTTCACAGGTTAGTAGTATACCTCAAGGGTGTCCACCCAGAAGAATTGGAGAAAAAGGGTTCTAAAGTTTTAAGTGCAGCTCATATACTGGTCGATTTTACACTGTGGTAGCATAGCGAAATGGCTGAGTCTATAGAAAACTTGCTTGCCACATGGGTGATCTAGATTAGATCCTACTTTCAGCTTAACTTTTTATTTTTTTTATTTTTTAATTGTTTTAAAAATTATAACAACTTTTAAATAAAGTTGTTATAATTTTTAAACTTTTAAATAATACTTTTTAACTTTTATTTAAAGTTAAAAAGTATTATTTAATGGCTGGTTAAGTGCCTTATAGGATGTGGGCACTGGATGTGTCCCCAGCCGGCGTTGTAATGACCGTCAATGGTTATATAGTTAGCTTCTATATGCTGGAAGAGGAGATCGAACTGGAGGTCCGGATAGCGTAACTGGCATCACATCTGCACGGTAAGCAGGAGTTGTGGGTTTGAGTCCCGCTTCGAGCCGATTTTTTCTCCCAGCGGTTCTAAATTATTTAAATTAATTAATTTATTTATAATTATTAATGTTAATAAGAGATGGCTCCTAACGCTTACCTCTAGAGCCAAATTGGTTACGTAATTCATTTAGTAATTAGCCTTAAACTAGCCCGATAGATTTTCGGCATTCGGTTGGTGTTATAATTATTAATGTTAATAAGAGATGGCTCCTAACGCTTACCTCTAGAGCCAAATTGGTCACGTAATTCATTTAGTAATTAGCCTTATACTAGCCCGATAGATATTCGGCATTCAGTTGGTATTTACCTTGTTATAATGTTTCATGGTAAATATAAAAGCTTCGGCTTGAAGAGGATTTCTTTGGAAGTGAAATTCACTGCGAAAATGGGTCTTTTGCCTTCCGGATGTATTTGTGAGAAGTGTAATAGGAAGCAGTCCTCAAAGTCGCAGATGCAAAACATCCAGTTTATCATTGTTGTAAATTTTACTTGTCTATTTCTACTTTTTCATAATTTAAGCTTAGCCCACACAACTATGCCAGCTTTGAGTAGTTCACTCAACTGTTTTCAGTGTACTCCATGTTATATATGTGCATGCAGAGGTGCGAGAGCACCGAAGTACACGACTACTTGTGGAGCATCGATCAAGGCAAGCAATTGTTCACCCTGACCAATGCAGAGCACGGAGAATAGAAATATCTGATCTTTGGAGGTGAATACCTTTGGACTTTTTTGCTCATACAATTCTGTTTGGTGGAAAACCCCTCGTTCAGAGTTAACATCAACCCCGTGATCTCAGTAAGAAAGCTCGGAGGGTAGTCTCGTATCCACGTTACCTTCTTTTAACCCAGGTCCCTCTTCGTAGACCGGAAGTGGCTTGTGACGTAGGGGAAGTGTTAGGAATGTAAAAAATATGATGGTTTCCCGCGTAAGTTACGTATGACATCATAAATAATTTATGTATTTATCTTTTTCAGTAATACAACCTAATACAGTTTTAATTATCAATAAAAAGCTAAATTGGCATACCTTGTTGCTGAGATCCAGCTTGAGCTTTAATTCTAGTCCAGTGCTCGGAGATATTCATAATAACAAGCGGATGAAGCGATACAGATACGCTTCCGGACGCTCCAGAAGCTGCCATAACGTTTTTTGTCGAACCTTCTACTTCCATCGCCATTTTTTAAAAAGATTTCCCACGAAACTTTCTGTTCTAACACTCAATGATGATCAGCCGACTAAATATTTGTTTCCAACAAAAGACTCGAGCGCCACTTAACAGAGTAATTGAGAAACTGTATATTGACCAAACGGAAAATGTTTTCGAAGTAAAATATACCATATTTTATAATTAAATATATAATAAAATTTAATACGAATTATTAATATAAACTTTAAGACATAACTTTGATTAATTTTTAATTTACGCGTTAATTTAATAAAAACGTATTTAAACTCGTCGCTAGATGTCGCTTGAAAATAAAAAATGTCTGCGCCTATGGATAGATTGAAACAGTTGGAATCGATAGAAAAAGATATTGCCAGTGCTTTGCAGAGTGGAGGTAGAAGGTTGCTTATTAATTTATAATTATACTAAGTGACCGATTAAATTTAAGACTGTTTCGATACAAAACTCCTTTTATATATTTAATTTATAAGCCAAAAAAATAAAATTTACATGGGGTCAATCATTTAAACGTAAAAATGTTATTTAATTAGTATTAAATGTATGACGTTAGCTATTAAAGATATCTACGCTGTTATAATTTATATTTCACCATTAAAAGTTATATTGAGCGTCACGTGACCATGTGACCAGATTTACTAGGCAGAAATCTAAGATAGAAGGACGCGATTTGGACTGAAAGAGCTGTAGAGGATATCGATAGGAACAAAAAAGTCAAAGGAATCATGCCTGTAAGTGTGATCCTTTGCGAGGTATTTGCCTCCAAAGGTCAGTTTTTCCATGTGCTATAGTCTGTCTATGTAAGGAATCAACTTGAGAGCAGCAGACATGATGATGATTCAGTTAAACCAATCGGCACATTTCGCTTAATATGTCAGGCAATGTGTGAATAAAGAGTTGTGTACAACACAACTCTTTATAGCACCTGGAAGTAGGCTGATTTTGGGGAGGCTATATCTTGCAAAGGGTCACACAATTTTCGATCCTATGGGCATGCTCTACAGTTATGTTAAGGTCCCAACAGTGTCATTCACATTTACAATTGTACCATTGTGTTGTGCACTCCACAAGCCTATTGCACGTTTAACAGACAGTCCAGCATGGTGGTCAGATATTCTAATGATATTTATTGGTAAAGAACAAAAAGAAATCCAACATGCAACTCTTTATGAGATATTCAGCTTCAAACGTAGAACCCTAATGGTGCTGGTTCTGGTTACCACCTTGTTTGCAAATGTCACATTTGCAAGCAAGTTATGTTTTAGGCCTTTAACCTGTGCCTTTAACATATATAATAAATGCATTAACTTATATTGACTGAAAGCAGTTTTTACCATGAACCAGTACTATGCACCATCTGTCCAACTTTATATTAGTACTGTCTATAGAAAAAATCGACTTGGATATTAGCCAATGAGCATTAGCCATCGATCACTTAGTTGTGGCAAGTTACTTTCAGTTTCTTCCTCATTTGTTTGGATCAAATCTAGAACAGAATGATGCGATTGGGACTTTGACAGAGCTGTAGAGCATATCGGTAGGAATAGAAGTCATTCTGCCATCTAGTGAGAAAAAATAAAATAAAATTCACACATGATAACAGCTAAAATAAAATGCTTGTGTATATACACAAGCATTTTATTTTAGCTGTTATCAACTTTAATATGATATCTATCATTGTTATGTAATTTAGATTGCTTTGATTGTAAAAAAATAATTGCTTGTGTATATACTGTATATAGTTAGATTTTCATGAGAATGTCTGTCTATCAATGTATATATTATGCTAATCTTTTGTTGAGTCTCATCTCAGTGAAGTGTATTATGATATACTTGTCATAATTATTACATATAATTACTAGTTAAACCATGGTGGCAATAGCTTATATCAAGTAATTTACTATACTGTCTAGTGAGACAAAGAATCAGAGAATAGAATTTTCTGACATTGCTTAGAGATATAAATATAAGGTTCCAACTTGGTTAGAAGGCCTGATCTACTGGAGGCAAATACCTGTGACCAAAGGGTTGGCACCAGAACAGTGATGCCTATGTCAGGATCAGCGATGGCAATTCATTCGTTCACATATGAGTGGTCAGATTCAGGAGTTGGACATCCTGAGAGACAATGCGGCCAAAAGAAGCGCACATTACTACTAAATTAAAAATACCAGTTTATTTTTGTATATAATTAAATTTCCACGTATACATAAGATAACGTTTTAGCACCATAAAATGAATAAAGTTTTGGTAGCATAACATAACAGGAGGCTTTCTAGCATAAAATTTTTTGTTACTTTATATAAAGTTAGCTGAGAGAGAGAGATCGAACTTACGTTCTTTCGCATGAGGTTAAATATCTTGATTGGTTGAATCGGCTTGATCGAAGTCTTGAAATCACAAAATGTCCTGATGACAGGGTGGAGAGGTTTCCTGGTTGGGTAGCGTTAGGCTGCTTGATGATACAGTTTGCAATCAAATGTTCGTTTCTAGGGTTTCTACGGCAAAGGGCGGTTGGTTGAAAGGATTGGCAATGGAACACTCACATGGAAAGGAGGAGGTTGGCCAACTCTCTATGTCGGTTCCCACATTCATCTTTTATTTTAGTGGTCCTTCCCCTTGATTTTGATGCCCGTTAAGGCAATGTTAAGTTTTTTTGACCAATAGATGAATTTTAGATGAAAGTTCCTGGTGACACATACATTTGGAAGATGTGTCACCTTGGGAAAGGAAGTAGATCTGGAGAAAGATGCAATCACATCCTTCCATTTTCTTTTTTTCTTTTTTTTTTTTTAGGTGTTGGGAAAATTTTTCTTTATATAATATGTGAAATTTAGGCATTAATTTAAACAAATTTGATATATTTTGTTGCAGTTAATTAAAATTTCCATCTCATCTGGTCTCTCACATACCCATGAAGCCAACTTAATAGCTGCAGAAACTGAAAAGGACTTTTGGTCTGGGATCTATTTTTGGTTACATATTTTCATCAATGACCTAAAATTTTTATGGTTTGGCTATATGCATTGAAACATGATTATAATGTTTTTTAAAAGTTTTTCTTGGTGAGCTGAGAGGAATTTATTCTAATAAACAGCAGAGCTGCAAGATAATAAAAGTCATAAACAGTGTTTTCTAATAGCATGCTGTCTGCTAGAGGAAGATGAAGCTTACATGGGTAGGCTGAAAAGTAATGCACACATGCTTGTAGAACACGAACAAAAACAGATAGCAAGATTGGGCAAAAAGTACATTAAAGTACAATTTTTAAGCTTCAAAATCATATATTTATTTTTCAACATAGTCACCGTTAAGGCTAACACATTTCTGCCAACGTGTAACAAGTTTTTTCATTCCGTCACTGAAAAATTCTTCCGACTTTTCTCGAATCCAGGACTTGACAGCTGCCTTCACCTCATCATTCAAGATGTAATGATTACCCTTGAGGTCTCTCTTGAGTAGAGGAAAAAAATAAAAATCACAAAGCGCAAGATCAGGGGAATAAGGAGTGTGTGGAATAGGTTCAAACTTCAGGTTTCGCAGAGCCTCTCCAGTTGCATGTGAGGTGTGTGGACGAGCGTTGTCATGTTGCAAGATTATTGGCACCAGGCTGCTTCTAACATGACAAACTCAACATCGGAAGTGTTTTAGAGTCTGTATGTACTGAGAAGAATTAAACATTGCAACAAGGGTCAACGGTAATCGTCTGTGGCAGTGATCGGACGTCTGCTGCGCATTTCATCAACAATTATGGCTTTTCCACGCTCACAACCACAAAATTTTATTATCCATTGATTTACAGTAGATCTCTCAACAGCATTGTCACCATAAACAGCCTTTAAATGACGATGAATCTCAGTAGGAGTCACTTTTTCAGCAGTTAAAAATTCGATAACAGCACGCTGTTTAACTCGCATTGACATAGTACTAGTCTCCATATTTTCGCTTCTCAAAATATACTGAATGAACGCAACAACCTCAAACTGCACATACGCATAAAGGGGGAATGTTACTTCCATATGCCACCTGGCCTGCTTCTGAAAATCATTTCATTCGTGCTCTACAAGCATGTGTGCATTACTTTTCAGCCTACCCTCGTATTTTAAACTAAAAAATTGCACATTTTATTCAGTTGAAATAATGTGTGTGTGTATCTAGTGTTGCATTGTTGCTTGAATAAATGTGATTTATTCCATTAATTAATAGTTGACCTCGGATAATAATCTCATCCAATTCCCAAGAATAGAAAGAATAGCCACCCTCTAATAGTTAGCATATTCTAATAAACAGCACAGTTGCAAATTGCAAGCTGACAAGTTAAGTGTGCTATTTATTAGAATAAATAAGATATATATAATAAACAATTTATTTTTGCTAGAAAATATTGCACAGCATTAACCACATGCTCCAAGTATATAGTAGTGAATAACCTCATGTTGGCAATATGCCATGTGTTATATATGCATTTTTTAGTTTTCTCTCATACAGAGGATAACATTAAATTTAAATATTATTTTAGGATGAAGTTCAATTTTTGTTGATGTTTATAAGTTATTTGGCACTACAAGAAACAAATTTTGGAAAGTCAGTCTCTCAGAAGGTCATTGCTGGGCTTTGTGAATTGTGATCCCTTTTGATTTTTTTTGCTTATGTAAGGATGACGTACAATTTTTAACTGCGTATCAATGACCTCTGGCAAGCATAAAATATTGCTTTATGATTCTACTAGTACTGTTTATAAGTTATTTTAGTGTTTATGAAATTGGAATAATAATTGCAATTAATTTAACATGATAAATCATATTTGATATATGGATGAAAGATTGATATAACTGAAATAACTTAAATAATCAGTTGAAAAATTCAGTTAAATAAGTTCACAAAAGCCAGCACATTGAAATTTAATATCTGTTAAAATTTTTTAACAAAGGTTCTGTGGATCTGAGTGGGCCTTTTTAATCATACCCACTGTGGATTTGGCCAGGCCCACGACAGATGCAGTTAGGTAGTGACCAACAGAGTCTGAAATATCTGAGACAGACTATTCCTGGAATTGTTTATCCAGATTTACATAACAGAATTTTATATTTTAGATATAAGTTATTTTATATTGTTGTCAATGTTAGTCAAGCAACTTCATGTCAAAGGTGAACAAAAGAATAAGTATCAATATATCTATTGTTGAGTTCTTGAGTAGAAAATTATTGACCATTAGAGCGCAATTGTAAAGGCCAGAATGCATACCAGGATTTAAAGTATTGAATAAAGATTTCTGTGGTGTGTGATTAGATTTAATGGTTATTATAGCCAAATTCATTAATTATATTCTTAATCCATCTTACAATTTTGTTGCACGTACATTAGGAAAATGCAATTAAGTAACTTTAAATACCATCTTCTTATGTCAATTCTAGATTTATAAATGAAATTAAATATAAATTTTCAAATATCTTTATTATTTCCAAAAGCTATTAAACTGAAAATTGAATATTTTTAAAAAAACCAAATGCTTATTATTGTGACATTGTCACAATGCCAGGCTGCAATTTTTAATCATCTTTTAATTTAAAAATCTAGCAACAGGTTGCTTAACTTTCCTGTCATCAGCATTTAAAACTGTGTGTGTGTGTGTGGTGTTATCTGTTATAATATTTTATTGAAAAAACTTTTTATATAATTAATTATTATAAACTGACAAAAAGTTTAATTTTGAGGGTAGGGAGAAGTTCTATAAAAAATTGTAAATTTCTATTAACAAGTAAAATCATTAAGTCTGTCTCCACTTGAGATATGACACACAATTCTCCTATATCTCCCAACTCCATTGACCTTTAACCACCAAAATTTAATAGCATCAATCCCCCTAATACACAAACTTCCCTGCAAAATTTCAGAAATTTTCGACAAAAACATGGAAATTATTAAGCTTCAGAATGGGTGAACAAAATTTGGTCCCCCCCCACACACTAACATCCATATATACCAAAAAACCCCTAACTTTTTTTTGCATTTCTTGACATTTCAAGGTCCCATGTCAAAAAATGTAAAATTCTTGGAGTCATTTTTTGATCAATTGCCTTACTTTTCCTGTTATATATATTAAAACCAGGAAAATAAAAATCATATGACTTTCAATCCAGACTAGAAGTTTATATATAGTTAATTGTGACATCATCACAATGTTGGGTTGCAATTTTTAATCATCTTTTAATTTAAAAAATCACATGATTTTAGGCCCAAACTGGAAGTTCATATATAGTTAATTGATACCTTCAACCCCAAGCCTTCTATCTCTGGTCTTGATTTTCATCTATCTGACTCCGTTCTCAAGATTAATAAATGACAGACTGATGGATGGATGACAGCGAAAATGTATATGTCTGCAATCAGAAAATTGCAGCCCAATAAAAAAAATATTTGTAAATATTCATTTTAAATATTTTTCTAGGAATATTAGAGCCCATTTGCCATATAATTTATAGAGCAAAAACAAAATATTTTTTTGATACTTGAAATTTAGAAAAGAATTGATTAATCTACATGTTCTAATATATTAAAGCAGTGGTTCTTGTGCTTTTTAAAGTTGTACGCTTTTAATTATAAAAATTTTTAACAGAACACTTAAAGCAAAAGGTATAGATCAGGGGTGTCCAACCCGCGGCCCGCGGGCCGCATGCGGCCCAAGGCAAGTTACAATGCGGCCCAATAAACGTGTAAACAAAACCGACAAATTTTAAATTAAATTAAATTTATTTATTTCAACGGCATAAACTCAAAAAAGAAGTTTCACAAAGCCGTAAATCTTTATATGTATTTTACTTTTGAGTCGAAAGGAAATATTTTCAAATACTTGGAAATGTGTGAATGAGGAAAGAATACTAAATAAATCTAAAGTTGAGACTCGAAGAATTATAGTCCCAAATTCGAGGAAAGGAGAGAAAGGCCAAAAGATAAAACGTAGTGAGAAAGATTAAATAGACTTTCTGTTATGCAAATATGGACCCTTAATTTTCCAACTTTCCTCACTTCTTTATCTTTTGTCCTTTCTCTCCCTTCCCCGCATTTGGGTCTATAATCCTTTGAGTCCAACTCCGGCTTTATTTAGTATTTATTCCAGGTTACAAGTTGGCTACCCGTTTTTTTGTTTGCCGTAAAAAATATCATTTGGCGCATTGGCTATTTTTTGGGCTACATCTTATTTATAAATATATTAGTCGAATAAAAGTGCATTTTAAAATGGTGTTTTGTCAATTTTTATTAATTAGAGACCCAAATATTTGTGTTTTTCAAATACATTTTTGTTCGTCTCCTTTATAATAAATGAATTTATCCATTTCTAAGTAAAAATTAGAAGTGTCTGTAGAAGTAATTTTTTAATATATCCTTTTTTGTGATAAAGATTTAATACTTATTACTATAATCTAGATATGTTAATTCTTAAATATACAAGTATATTTAAGGATTGGGCCACAAGTATATATAATACACTTGTGGCCCAAACTCCATGACATTTTCCAATGTGGCCCAGAGAAACAAAAAGGTTGGACACCCCTGGTATAGATGATGACACAAGCCTGAATTCATAAATAAACCTTAAAATTAGTAATATTTTGAAAGATATTTGAAGAACTTAAGCTCGATAATAGTCTAACCTGGAACCACACAGTATATACATAAGGTGTTTTCAGTGTTTTTATAGAACTTAAGCTATAGTTTAGGAATAGAGAGGTTGCAGCCGATGTTTTCATCTCAAAAACGTGAATGTCAGACATTCAGCGCTACCATTCTGTAAGCCTAGAAGTTTGACAATGGCATTTGGAACGTCAGTGGAATCATGCTCAATGTTCCAAATGCGGCTGACATTCACATTTTCGCAATGAAAATGTCAGCCGCAACCTCTCTAATAATACAGGGTGTCCAAAAATTTACTGTGCAGTGAGAAATTTGTAATGACGTTGAAGTTATACATATGTCATTGCACACAAGACCTGTAAGACTTTGATCATATTCAATGACCTTTTAATTTTTATATTTAAGCCTTGTTTGGTGTTTGAATATTTCTGTTAGTATTTGTAATTGTTTGAACATCAAACCTGATGAATATCATTAAATATGATCAAAAACATTAGTTTTTCCTAGTTTAATAATTTATTTATGTTCCAGCTGTTACAGACTGTCATGTTTAATAAACCTTTCTGCTGTTATATAAGGTTGTATGTAGATGATTGAGTGATCTACTGAAGCAATTACTATATAACTTATTGGTCTATACTACATGAAATTGTTGATTACAACCAGTTAATTAAAAAAGTAAACAGTAGAGTTGATATAAAGTATATTTTTGATTATGCTATTTAGAATTTATAGCATTATTTCTTGATTTTTTATTGAGTGATTGTTGGGGTGCAATTTTTCAGATTGCAGACCTATACATTTCCACTGTTTGTCTTTTGTTGATCTCGAGAATGGAGTCAGATAGATGAAAACCAACAACAGATTTGGAAGGCTTGGGGCCTAAGTTATTGATTAACCACATAATATATCATTTAATACATCATTGGGAAAAACTATTACTGTAATGCTAATGGTGTATATTAGTATTGTAAGTTTGATTGAATAAAACATAAGAATCTTGCTGGTCAGTGTAACTATCCCAGATGACCTAAACATTATACTGAAAGAAATGTAGAAACTCAACAAATACAAAGATCTAGAAATAGAGATTAACAGAATGTGACAATGAGAATTATCCTGGTGGTAATGGGTACACTACGAACATTTACTGGATTTTATGAAAACCTTCAGATACTCCTTGGTCAACCATTGGCCGAAGAGGTACAGAAAATTGTGATGATGGATACCATATGTATTATGTAAAGGGTGTTTGGTTAGACTGCTTCTATCTCTTACTGAAATCTGGATATGCCATAGCTGCCATTTGACAACTTTGTAGCATAATTTTTATTACATATAGTAATGATAATAAATGGTAAAATAATATCTGTTCCCTGGAAGAGCTACCTGGAGTCAAAACAAGTTTAGGGTGGCTATTTGACGAGAATAATTGTACTAGCAGTTGTAGTAGTGAGAATAATTGTATAAGCAGTAAATAATTGTTGTTAACAGCACAGTGGTTGATTTTACAAAGAAAATTGCACATAGACTTTGTCCAATAAGAGTTTGAGTCAACTGCTTAGCTCTTATTTACTGTAAAGAATATAAATTGAAAGCTTCTAAATAGTTTTTGGAGAATCATTTTATAGAAAGAGAGAATTACTAGAAATTTCTAAAGGAAAAATTTGAATTCAAATGCAGTTGTTGTAAAAATGCATGTTTTATCAGGAGCCAAAGAGTTTAACTGGACTACAATGTTTGATTGATGGGAAGTCTGGTTGAAGTCTGTTAAACTCTTTGGCAACTTCACACCAGCTCTGGATCTCCTTGTCAAAATAACTTAAATTTATCTCTCCTTATTTGGCACCTGTAAAAGAAATAAACTAATTATGAGATAAATCCTAAGGTTCTGACTACTGTTCCTGGTATTTTGAAAGCATTTTCCAGAAAATCATTGAAGTGAATCTAAAATAAAATATCAAATATATATGTAGTAAGACTGATGACTATGTATAAATTCAAATTAAAAGTAAAAGTATGAACCAATTTCAATTAGTTAATATGTAAGTATGAAATAAAATTTAAAATATAATTGGCATCGTCTTATTACAAGGCTATAATTTTCCACGAATTAAGCATAGTCTTGATTTAAAATGTTAAATATGTAATTAAATGCATTTAAATGTGAATGCTCCTCAACAGAAACATGAATCCAAATTCAAACAAATTTAAATTAATGAAAATCTATGCATATAATAGCAATATTTTAATTATAATGAATGTAAAAATAGTCTTAAATTTAATGCTTCTATCTTATTATTAAGTCATTCTATGATGTAATTTAAACTTTTTTTCAATTGATATCAAATCATGTAGTTTATAGTAACAAATAAAAAATATTTTTAATTGTCTTTTTTATTTGACACTTTATTACAGTTTTATTTGAAATTTGTTTTTAATTTTTTATTCTGTCTTAAAAAGGTCAAGCTATATTAGAATTAAGTAAGGAGAAACCAAGTATGAAGCAAGTCGATACTCATACATCTACATTTTTAAAAACATTGGAAAATGTTGAAAATAGTCTTTCAAAACACATCACTTATCTTACGCAAGTATCTACAGGTAAGTTTGAGTTTTTTCTTTTGTTCTCAGATACTGTAATACAGCAGAGCATCGATTATCCGAATGTTGATCAACCAAAATGTCGATTAACCGAAAGCTTTCCAGTTGGCAAATTTAAAATTCTGCTAGTGCTGTGGTGCTGCAATCTTTGGCTATGTCTTGGGTTACTCCAATATTATTTTTGTTGGTGTGCATGTTTTAGCTGGCAGCAATGGTGTGACCATGAGAGAGTACTTAAGGACTTGCCAGGGTTTGAACGAATTTCAACATGGGATAGGTTAATATATTTTTTCATTCATAATCAGTTATCCGAAAAATCGATTTTCTGAACAACCCCAGTCCCCAATTGATTCAGATAATCGATGCTCTACTATATAAAATTGCAATTCTTTAATATACTTAATTCCCAGACAAACATTTTTCATCTACTAAGATCATCACCTAGTCTGAACATTCCAAAATTGGAATGTAATTAAGAACAGTGACGTATTACAAAAACGATAGAAAACGTTCAAAACAAATATATATAAACTGTATTGTGAGGCACATTCAATTTAAATATTATTTAAATTACAAGAGAAAAAGTGTATGCTCAAATAACATCAATAACTAACAGCTATTAATTGTAGGTAATACATTACATCGGTGCTGAGTATGGGTAATAATAATATAAGAAGGAAAGAAAAACATTCTTAACATAATTATGTATAAAAATTATCTTTTAAAGTACATTTAAAGACAATTAGTTTACAACTGAATTCTAATTTTGGAATGTTAAAGACCATCCGAAGATGATCTTAGTAGTAGATTGAAAACATTGTCTGAAAATTAAGTTTATAAAAATTCTTTACTGGTGATTTAAGGTTTTTATGGTGTGCAATTATATCAATCCAGTCTGGTGTAGAAGTTTGAACTTTGTTCAATGTATTCTAGTCACTAGAATAATACTCAAATCTCTTAGACATTTAAGTTACAAATATTCAATCTGATCATTCTGTTGCTTATCACAAACCAAATTTCACTTGTACTTTTCATAGCAAATCTTTCTCTATGACATTTTACTATTGTAATGATGTATTGTCTTAATTCTATAAAATTATGTTTACTGAGCTGGCTTCTTGTTTAAGGACAAATTACTTAAATTATCATACCTCACTCTGCAACTTCTTTTCTGTCTACTACTTTAAATTTTTATCTTCTTTTTTTGTTAATACAGTTAATAATTATTAATAACTATTAATTAATTATAATTAATTAATAAATCTAATGAGCCAATATCAATCTACATGCCATTTCCGTAGAAAAGATGTACTTAACAGTGTGTAAATTTACATCCTGAACTATTTTCAATCAACCCTAAAAATGTCATATTGACTTCTGGAGCCCTTGCTCTAGAGATACATGAATGTAGGCCATCCTTGTCATGCCACATATCATCAGAGTTGTAATATCTGTAGAAACTTATTGAGGAAAATGTAAGCAGAATTCAATTAACAGCATGATGTGTGCACCTGAAACATGATCCATATTGAATGTTTATCATTTTAAGATTTAAAACTAGAATTATTCTAGTATGTGATGTATGTCACATAATTGCAGGCTTTCTCATAAGAACACCTCAACTTTTAGCTTATTAACCCCCATTAAACTCGCTGCCTGATACTGTCCTAGGGGCAGACCACTGCAGTCATCCTGCAACTGAGCTTAGGGATAGAACAGTGGACACAAACATCTACTTTCTTCTTCACTGAGTCAGTAACCAACTTTTACCAAACTTTGCTTTGTTCAGCCAATTAACTTTTCACAAGTAGTGTTCAAAACCTTTTTAACCAATCATGTCATAACATAGTTTGTATCACATAATATGATGAACATAATAGTTTTCTTTGGTTAGTGTTCATTTCATTCGTTCACAGTGGTTCATATGCAAAGTTTCTGAGTAACTAAACTGGCTTTTAGTTACTCAGCAACAGATAAATGCAAATTGAATAACACTAAGAAACAAATGTTCTATAATGTAGCATAATCTAATAGTGTTCAGGATTATCATTTTCTGTTATTTATATTAAAATATTGCCAATTGGCAATTTTGGCATTATGCAATGTGAACCTTGTATTATAAATAGTAATTTGAAAAGAATGATATGCATTCACATGCTTATTAACTAGTTAAATGCTCTCTGAAAAGAGACTGCAGTTCGTAACCATTTCATGGCTGTTCATGTGCCAATGTGAACCTAGCTTAAAAAAATTACTAATTATTTTTTTTAAGTATCTATTTTAGTAGAATATTATTTTATATTTTAATCAACTTGTTTATTGTTTATTTAAAAGTATAATATGAAGATAGATGGTGAAGTCAAAAGACAAACAGAAAAAAATCTCATAATGTTGTACACCATAAATTTAAATATAGATATTATTTTTAAAGTCAATTTTTAATTTTTAAAAATATTTTTGGAGAATTATTCTTTCAAATATTGAAAGTAAGAAAAGAAAATGGGTACTATTTTATAATTTACATTTGAATTTTTCTTAAATAAGAGATTTGCTTATTGATATATATTGAAGCTTAAGAGAACAACATGTAAAATGTTTATAAAGTGATTAAAACTGCTGTTAGAGAGCTAGTATTATTCATATAAAATATTTATTTACTAGTGAATAAAGATTATAAAATTTTTCCAGGACAAGCTCATGAAGGTTCTAGTTATGCCACTCAGAAAGTGATGCATATGGCATGGCACAGATTGGAGCATGCACGATCCAGACTCACCGATTTAGAAAGAATTAAAAATCAACATCAACAAGCCAGCAGACAATCAGCGTTACGACAGCAACCCCTAAATACGTGAAGGAATATATTTTTTCTATTTAATTAAGGCACAAAAACTTTTCATTTTTTACAGAAAATTTAAAATTTGAGTAACTTTTAAATTTGAAATATGCAAATAAAGTTTTTTCAAATGTTAATTTAATTATTGTTTATTCAACCAACTTTCACATTTGCTATTTTCTTATAATGCTTGTGTAGAGTGCTCAATATTCAATTAGCCATGTTGGTTATATTTAATTTAAACCAATCTCCTCATTCCCAATTCATATCTTAAAAATACAAATAAACTTCTAACTAGTTTAATTTACATTTTATCACATAAAACAGTGGTTTCCAACCTTTTTTCATTAGCGTATCCCGTGACATGTCATATCTCTAGATTGTATCCCTCATTTAAGAAATTTAGTGAGTACCCGTATTGTTAATTTTACATATTGTAACTTTAAATTAAAGAAAAAAAAGTAAATGAAAAAATATATAATAAAGTTGTGATTGTTGCAAGGAATATATTTTACCTAATAATTTTTTAATACTATTAGTTTGTGATACATAATATATTATTTTTTCTGCCATAACAACTAACTTTTCTGTACCCCTAAACAACCTATTACGTACCCCTAGGGGTACGTGTACCACAGGTTGGGAATCGCTGACATAAAAGACAAATCATCTTTATTAGTTTTGGAGCATACAAAAATATTTTAGAGTTATCATCAGTTTTTATAATGGAAAACTTGTCCTTAGACAATAATATTTTCTTGTAATCTGTAAAATTACATGGAGTCTACATGACAGTTTTACAGCTTGATTTCATGCTGAGCCTTGAACCATAAATATATATATCACATGATGCATTACCCCAATTGACTTTGATAGCTCACTACGGAACACTAATAAGAAATCCAAAGTTGAATGCTGAATATGAATATTACATTGATTTCTAAAAGTTATTGACTTAGGAAACAGTTTTTTTCTTAGAAAACTTTGTGTCTTTTTTTATTTAAAAAACCCTATGTTGGCTAATAACATGTAATTTTATGTTATGCCTGTTATAAACATTTTTAACTGAAGACCAAGACCATAAAATTAATTTTTTTTATAAACCTTTAATGATCTGCATTTTAATTGCTACGTATCCTCTTCAGGCTAAAAAATGTTTTAAAAAAGTACAGCTAAAACACATTATAAGAAGCATAACATAAAATTACATGTTATTAGCCAACATTGTCTTTTTTATTAAAAAAACACTTAAGTTTTCTATGAATTTTACATAGACTCTGTATTTTTTTTGTTCATCAACATATTAATAGAAGAGATTTACGTGATGAATCGATTTTTATACACATCAAATTAAAAGACAGAATTTTCTTGATTCCAAGAGATGATGACTCTTAGAATCTTTCACCATGCACATTTAAGCAGTTGAGAGATTCATTCTTATTTGCTGCAAGTAACTCAAATTGTTTTTATAAACTAACAACTACTTTTGTTAATTAGTACAAACATTTCAAATGAAAATTTTGTAAAAAATGGCACCTATTAAATCACAATAATGTTGTTCTTTCAAGACTTCTGTAATGTAATCATATCTTTTCTATGTAATATTTGAAAAAACTGAATACATACACAGGGATGATCATAATACCTATAAACATAGATGAATAGATCTAATATTAATAAATTCTTTACTGATATATTACATTATGTATGTTCAATGCTCATTGAAAATTACAATGAACATGGTTCATCAAGGCAGCTTTTCCATCATTTTAGGCTGAAGCTTTCCAACTTTATGACCATTCTGAACATACATATAGCTGCTAATATATTTTTAAAAATTCTTTAACTCAGTCCTGTGGGCACTAAGAAGGCCTCTGTATATGCTCTTAGTGAACTCAAGTGGGCCCACATTCATAACATGGCCTGTTACTGTAAAAGGATATGACATATCCGGGCCAAGTCACTCACAAAATTTCTAAGTCAATCTGAGTCATCCTGAACAGTAGGTTGCTATTTACTAACAGGAAATAAAATCTTTAAGACTGCTATTTATTAATAAAGAAACTTTATGCAATTCAATTCAAATAAAAAATGGCAAAAGAGGACTGCTTTACCTGTCATATATCAAGCATTTGATGTCCCTGGTGGCTATTTTCCCATTTGATGGCATCATATATTAAAAGAAGTAGTTGCAAATTTAAATAACTCAAGAAACAGCAAGTAAATGGAAAATAAATTAAAATCAAAAGAGGCAATAGTCTAGGCATTAACAAACATTGATAGAGAATTCTAAATTGGAAGGCTAGATGTCTGACAGTTAAGGTGTCCACCTGCTGCTTTGGGGAACCTCTGAAGGAGTTTTTCATGCCTACAGAGTGGAAAAAGTTAAAAAGGAAAAAACCTACTATTAATAACAATAATAATCAGCTGTCTATAATGCAAAAACTGATGAGCACAATTCAATTCATACAAATTCAGGAATCAAATTACCAAATAGATATTCCAAACATTCCTACAGTTATCTTCAATCTAGATATCATCTAGTGGCATAAGAGGGGGCATTCCCAATCCTCTGTCTCTGTTATTTCAAAAAGAATAAAATTGGAATGTCCCCAAGTAAGGTAAATGTACTGGTAGTGGACACTTTGAACTTCAAATATGAGTAATAAGGTTGTATATAGCTTAACTGTTCAAACATACAAATCACTCAGTAGACAGAACTTCTGTCTACTGAATGATTTGTATGTTTGAACAGTGAAGCTATATACAACCTTATTACTCATATTTGAAGTTCAAAGTGTCCACTACTCATGTAGTGTCCACTACCGGTACATTTACCTTAGTCATATCCATTTCATAATATCTGTATTTGCATATCAATTTACTGATATTATCTAGAAATACAATCAATGTTTATCCTCGAGTCAATACATGATATAATTTGGGCACTAGGAGTCAAAGCAATTCTCTGCTGTGGCTTAATGGAAACAGAGCACACCTGTGGCCAAATTGATAGAAATCACAGAACACTGATAGTTCATTGAGAGCTTGCACCTCACCAGTGGGTTAGGAATTCAGACTTTTCAAGGTTTTCTTCATGTGTCTTACATTTAAATAGGAGTCAGTTTCTCAAAGTTTTGCCTGGAGAGACACCCATGTGTGTGCATTGCCAGGCAAAACTTTGAGCCTCTGGGAATGTCTCCCAGAGGATGGCTGTATGTCTTATATCAAAAATGATTCCCACGTAAATAAATTTAACATGTCTGCAAACATGGCAACTGAGAAGACGAAACAAACTTTCGTGCACCATTTTAGTTTCATTTTTCTTAAAGCGGCTCAAGAAGGCTAATTCTAAAATTTTTTACGTTAATCTTCCATCCATATGATTCACGTGATGAAGACATTACTATAATCAAGGCCATACGAAATAGTTTTGGTGCCAGGGGCAAACCACATACCTGGTGCTCAATTCAACATTATTTACAAAAATATTCTATGGGCTTTTAATTTTAAGAACTCATTTTGGAGCCCCCAAGATTGGTGTTCACTATCGCCACTCTTAATTATGCTTCTAACTACAATTAACGTATTTTAAAGTTAAGTAACCTAATCAGGGTACCTAGTTAGATATGAGTTGCACAAGTAGTGACACATACATTGAACTGTCAGGTGTCACTAACGCGTTTAGTCAATGGGAACAGACTTGGGGAAAACCCAAAAATTAAATAATTAAATAAAAATTGATGAAGTTATTTGTCTGCAAGCTTTGCTTCCCTCCTGGAAAATTTTCTGCGGACTTCGTATGATAGTGGGTGTGGGTACATTCCTATCGGTGAACCGCGATGTACAAAATGTGTTGCGATGTTCCCCCTGTAGCAATGGATGCGCATCGCACTCATCGTGGATATGGTGAACTCCGACGAAACAATATGGCTGCCTCCATGGTTATATTTAGCGACTTTATAAAATAATGATAGAAATTGAATAAGACAGTTAGCATGTAATATTATTCATTCCTATACTAATTAATTAAATATAAGATTAATTGACAATGATTTAAATTTTTTTAATATATCTAATTGAAACACACGGGCTGTGTAGTTAGTAGCAAGTAGCAGACCGCTTGAAAATGGAGTATGAGATACTGTTTTTTTATACAGAGAATTTCTTTTAGGTTTCATCATAGAAACAGTAGCAGTTAGTGATCATCATTTTTACTATTCATCTGTATTAATCCAAAGTTATTTTGACAAAATAAGTATGCAAATGCCAATTGAGCGCTGTTTGCTTCCGCCATCTTGCTTGATTACCAGACGTTCCAGTAAAAACTTGTTAAATCGTTCTCCGATGCATCGGTTGTGGCTGAGACTCGTGCATACTGGAATGCACTCATTGTCAACACTTCTGTCTTCCTACTCGCATAATCCGAGACTAAACACATAAGTGATAAGAACCGATTGCAGCGCTCGAACGGGAATAATGAAAAACAAACTTATTCTTAGAATGCGATTTAAAGGATTCTTCCAGTCACATCGCGTTTACTAACGAAAATTTCTAATCGTAAGTGGAGTCGTTTTGCATACGTTATGTTTCCCGCTTAAGCTGGATTACGTTCTTGTGTGTAGCGTGCAACGAAATGACGTCAATTTGACGTCATACCTCGCTACCCAAAGCTTCCAGTTGACGGATGTGAACATCATTTTGCTATATGCTAGACGCTACAGGAATAACATAAATCCAACTTTACGAATTTCCCGATCCAAAAGCAATTCTTTCTTTTGAAAAATAGAAAATTGTCGTACGGCGCCAAGGCCTTATTTACATATTTATCATTGGGGACATGGACATTGATTTGTCGATTAATACCAATGGCTGATATTGATACTTAAATTAATATAGAGTTAATCGAGAGAATTGGCTCTCTTCCCATCCCTAATGCTCCTTCTTTATACTGTAATTCCGAAAAAAATGCATTATGTTTTTGGTGCTGTGATTTTGCTACTATTCAGCGGAATTTTCAGGCATCGAGGGCGAGGCTCCCCTCAAACCCCCGAGTAGCTTCGCCTCTGTCTTAAAGTAACTGCGAGAGCGAAGATAAT